CATATTCACACACGCCAGCCTATAGTTTGTATATATGATGGGTGTGTGGATGTGTATGCACACATACAAATACACCATATGCAATTATCTGTTTATACGCATAAGGCATTTACATAGGTATGTCACATGTGTGAATATGTGGATGTAATTGTGTATGCAATATTTACATGTGTGGATGTCGATGTGTAAATACCTTCAAATCCCTGGGATGAGAAGGAGGTTTCCATGCTCCCTACTGTCTTTCCTCTGTGAATACCTCCAGGTCCCTGAACAGCTCCCCTACCACATGTCCCATCCGGTGTTGTGAGGATGGATGCTGGGCTTGATGAACTGGAGACTAGACCCAGACTGAGCTCTCTTGAGGGCAAAGCTGAATCTACAATTTAGGGGATCCTGGGCAAGGACAAGTGTGCTGTGTCTCTCTCTTCCTCCCTCTCCTCCCCTCAGGTCTTCACATATATGTATAAATCCCCATGAAACTATAACTATCTGGCTGGGTAAGCAGATCAACGTATATTACATTTGTGTTATCCACACGCTTCAAGATAGGTTCTACTGTTTCTGGTCTAGTCTGCAAGAACATGGATAATTCCTGGGGTGTCTGCCCAGATTGGGGTGTCTGCGATTTGGCTAGGGTTGGTGGCTCTCTGTCCTCAGGTGTGCTGTCCAGGTGCTGCAGGAGGAGGCCCTGCTGGCTGGTGAAGCTCTCACACACCCTGTCTCTCACCTGCGCTGACTCTGGACCCTCCATCAGCACCACCAGACCTGACTGTCAGGAAGAGCTTGGCGTGTTGGGCATACCGTCTGTGGTGGTCTCACTAGCTGCAGCCTTCCCGCACAGGCTCCACCTCCATCTCCACAACCATGGTCACAACCAGAACACTGCATTGGGACTCTGTGAGCTCAAAGACCCAGCATGAAGTGCTGTGTAGACGATACCCTGACGGGACTCAAGTGAAGCCTGAGCAGAGTGTCAGCCGGGGACAAGCGGAACCACCAAACTGCCACAGTTAAAAATAGCAGGTGCAGAGATGGAGGCTGGTGAGTGAGAGGCTCCAGTCTCCTCTGTGGTCTCCTCAGCTTTAGCTCATTACCTAAAAGAACCCACAACCCACAGGCTGTAGTGTAAATCGCCAATGTCTGAGCACAGTAAGCTTTTTCCATTCATCTGAGCGGCACGAAAAGAATGTTCACGAATAGGAGACAATAGAAAA